CCCATTCAACCAAGGCTGACCACGCCGTCCTTTCAAGCCTTCTCTCTCAGGCTGTTTAACCTTCTCCAGCAGGTCTGCTTCTGCCCTGCTCCCACCTGCCCTGCTGGCTCCTCCCCACCTACCCCCCAGGAGTGGGTAGAAGTTGGTCAGTGTGTAAGGTTTGCATCAGTTGGATGAGCTAACTCAGTGATGTCCATATCCCCAGGATCCTGACATCCTGGGCACCCCTCCCAGCTGGGGCTGCAAGGTGCATGCTCCTTGCTGGCTGAGTGCCAGAGGCCTAGAGGAGAGGTCAGAGGTCAAGGCCTGGTACTAGCCATTCAGGGCCCTGGTGCCTGCAGGGGCACATAGACCAACCTTGGGGGGCTGCCCCCCGTCTTGTCCAGGGTCCTTGATCCTGACCTCTGCAGACCATGTGGGGTCCTTCCCAGAGGCCCGTGCCTTGTGCCTGCCTCCCTGTCCCTCTCCATGCCCCCCGGGTCAGGATCTCAGCCTGAATCCTGCTGGGGACTGGGAGTGAAAGTGCTGGGGGGTGAGGCTGGCCCGGATGTCACCCTAGGGGACCACACATGGCAGTGAATGTCTCACTAAGGCCTCTGACCGAGTGGTGGCCTTTGTATCTTCCAGCTCCTCTGAGCCCTGGTGGTGTAGGGCCTACGAGTTGGGCAGCTAACCACAGGTCAGCAGTTCAAACTCGGGAAGATTGGGCTGGAGGCTCCGCACAGATTTGCAGCCTGGAAACTCTGCGTCGCAGTAGACGCCTTGCCAGTGAGCCTGATATCTGAGTGTCCAGATCTTAATCTGGAAGCCGGAGTCCTGGTGGTGTAGTGGGTCTGTGTTGGGCTGCTAACCACAAGGTCAGCAGTTCAAACCCACTGGCTGCCCAATGGAGGCAAACCCTCCAAACTCGGGCTGTCGAGTTGGTGCCGGCTCACAGGGACCCGTAGAACAGAGTGGAGCTGCCCCTGTGGGTCTCCCAGACTGTCACTCTTTACAGGCGTGGAAAGCCTTGTTCTTCTCCCGCAGAGTGGCTGGTGGTTTCAAACTGCCGTTCTTGCGGTGAGCATTCCACCTTGAATGAAGCCATCTGTCCCCAGGAAGTTTCACAGCCTTGGAAGCCCCAGGAGCAGTTCAGGTTCCCTCTAGGCTCGTCTGAGTCAGAATGATCTCTCCAGAGCAGTGAGTCTGGTGTTCATCTGAGAGTTTTCCCTTTGTCACAGGGGTGGTGGTGGTGGTGGTGGTGGTGGTGGTGGTGTTGGTGTGTGTGTGTCTGCGTCTGCCCATGTCCCAGCCTTGGGATGCCCTGTGGCTCGGCCACAATACCATGTACCAAGCAAACCCTTTTCCCTGGCTCAGCTGCCTCCTGACCCTCTGTGCCGATCCCCAGGGCCCCTGCCCTACTTGTGAGCCTGCCGGGTGGCGTGGAGGTTTGTCATTGGTGAGGCCTGATCCAGAGCCTGCTTGCAAGGGCCCCATGGTGGCCTGGGGAGGGGTCCTGAGCTTGGGGTGACCCCAGAGGTGCTGGGGGCTACAGTGTGTGTGGGGTCTGCCGGGGGAGGCCTGTTCCCAGGTCCTCTGCTTTACAGAGAAAGCCGACCAGTTGGTCTTACAGAACTGGACCAGCTGCCCGAGGCGCTGGGCCCCTTGCTGCTTGCCTGCCATCAGCACAGCACGGCCGGGCAGTGCCTATGTGTGGAGGCTGCTGGGCTAGAAGGAGAGGTGGCTATTGAAACAGAGCTTCTCCAGAGGTGAATGGATGGCAGAGGGCCCTCTGGGCTAAGGTGACCAGATGTTAACATTGGTAAAGCGGGACACCATTGATAAAATTCATATCCTGGCGAAATAGCCACATGACAGCGGAAAATGGTATACCCTAGCTTGTCATTTTTAAAAATCGGGACTTTTTAAAAACGCCGCGGGAAAATTTTTTAAAAATTGGGACTGTCCCGCCAAAAGCGGGACGTCTGGTCACCTTACTCTGGGCTCCTTCAGGCCACTGTACCCCATCCAGAGGCTTCACTGCCCGCAAAGTCCCATGCCTGGACCCCCTTTCTGAGTCATGCCTTTCACAGCAGGGCCAGTGAGGAGGGGCAGGGGAGGTGGTAGCACTCCCCAAGTGCCCTCCCCACTACTGGACTACTGGTCAGAGGTGTTTCGTTAGCCTCCCCCATCCTACCCCCCATGAACCTGGGTGTGTCCATCATCCTGTGTGTGTTTAAGGTTGGGGACTTCCTGGAGGAAGGGGCTGAGGAGGCAGGGCCCAGTGGAGGGACCCCAGAAACTCTGCCAAAGTCCCCACCCAGAGCTGCCTCCCTTCACCACCCAATGGAGTAGAGGGTGCCGCTGGGCCCTTCCCCGCACCGCCGGCTCCTGCCTCAGTTTCTCCCCTGGCTCTGTGGGCTGGAGGCTGCTTCCAGGTGGAACAATGGGGGCTGTGTTTCCTGTGCTAAATATAGAGTCAGGAGGCCCAAACCCCTGGCCAGTCTGGAGGGGCTGGGCCTCCCTCCCACCCGCCTGGTGGGGCTAGCCTGGGATCTAGGGCCCTGGCCTGGCGGTGATGGACAATGGAGCCGCACCAGCCCCCACCGGCTGGGCCCAGGTGGGGGTGGTAGTGGCAGGGGTGGGGGTGGGGTGGGGAGGGGAGGCTGTTTGCTTTAGGATAAGGCTGGCTCCAGCTGGGGCCTCTGGCCGCTGCTGATGGCCTGGCCTCTGGCAGCACTTGCCCCGGGGGCTCAGCTTCCTGCAGCGGCTGGCTGGCGGTCACTTGGCTCTGTCTTTGCTGCAGGACCTGTCTGGCGTCCCCACTGCCCGTGCCCCTCCTCAGCTGTGACCCATGCTGGGGGGGGGTGTTGTATGCCCCTCTGCCCTTGGGGAGCCCCTACTATGTGTTTCCAGGAAGGTGTGGATTGGTTGGGGAAGCCCCCCAAGGGAGTGGGAGGGACTGCTCAGGCCACCAGCAGCCTCTCCCATGCTTCCTGGACAGGTGTCTGGGGACGGGTCTGTGCCAGGTGCCCTCCCAGGAGGCCGCATGGGCCAGCGGGTGGGACGAGGGGCCACCAGCCATTGTCAGTGTTCCCGGCTGGAGGCCGGTGATGCTGGAATTTTAGGCAGTGACAGGTGGTGGGCTGGGTTTGCCTGGGAATGACTGGGAGGCCTAGGGTGGGGGGTGTCCCCAGAGGCCCCTGGGCAGGGGGTAGGGCAGTGTGTGGCCGCAGGGAGAGCTGGTGAGTGGGGGTCCTCCCAGCCCATACACCCTGTGCCTGTAAGCCAGTCAGGACCCCTTCACCTGGGACAGATGGCCAGGGTGCGGCTGAGTGGCTGGTAGAGGTAGCCACATAGCCTGGGCCCAGCCTGGCCGGCACCCCCATTGCTGTCCCCCAAGAGGCCTGCACCTGCCCACATGGCTGTCAGAGACTGCAGGAAGTGGGCCCTTTGCTGATAGCCCCAGAGAGCTACCCTCCCCGCCCCCCCCCGCGCCCCCTTTCTCCCCACACACATACCAGCAGGGCTGGGCTGACTCCTGCTAGGATCACAGTCCAGAGATTTCCTCATTGGGGGACCCCCAGAGGGGTCCTCAAACCTGGACCTCATCTCCCCCCTCCCCTGCCGGCTCCTCTGCCCCAGCACAGAGGTGAGGTGGGGCGCCTGCCTGTGTTTTCCCTGAGCTCAGTGCTGGGGGAGGGTCTCTGTCCCCAGTGGCAGAAGTTAGGAAGGGAAGCCAGGTCAGGTTCCGCAGACCCGCAGAAGCTCCGCGCACAAGGGAGGGCCGCCACTCGGTAATGTAAGCAGCTGGTAATTGCATGTTGAAAAAATACCAGCTGGTTATTAAAAACACATGCCTCCACTGTCAGGCCCCTGTTGAGATAACATCACTGCCTGCCTGCCTGCCCGCTGTTGCCTGCACTGCCGCACACACCCAACCCGCCTGGGGTCCCCATGCTCTGAGCCAGCAGGGCCCCTGCCCCCCAAGGACCGTTGGGGCACTGGAGGCTGCCTCCCCAGGTTTATGGGAGTGACCACCCCACTGGGAGGGGGCTAGGAAACAGGGGAAGTGCTGCTCCCTGCATCCTGATCACCTCCAGCGTGCGTTCACCTGGGCCTGGCTGCCCAACCCAGACCCCAGTCTGCTCTGTCCTCCACAGCCTTACCCTTCCTATGCCCACCCCTGCCCCTGAGGGTTCCCCAGCCCCTTGGCACTGTTGGCCCTCACCTCAGCGTCACTGCTGCTTAGAAACTTGCCCTGTGTTTCTTGACACGAGCTTGTCAAGGGTGTGTTCCGTCCTCAGACCTCCCTCTGTGAGAGAGCTGTCTCCAGGTATGGGGTGAGGGGGTCGGGACCCAGGACATGAGGCTCTGTGAGGGTACTGAATAGTCCCTGGTCCAGGAAGGACTGCTTGCACACAGTGGATGCTCAGCAAACATGGGCCTAGTGCGCAGTGGACACTGGACGAATGTGGGCCTGGCGTACAGTGGGTGCTCTGCGGGTGTGAGGCTTGGCATACAGTGGGTGCTGGGTGGATATGGGGGTCTACTGGGTACACAGTGGGTGGTGGGTGCATGTGAGTCTGGTGCACAGTGGGTGCTGGGTGGATGTAGAGTATGGGACAAACCCCCCCGTGGACGTGGGGTTTGATATGGAGTGGGGTTTGGTACACATGTGATCTGGCGCACAGTGGTTGCTGAGTGGGTGTGGGGTCTGACATGGAGTGGGTGCTGGGTAAATGTGGGATCTGGCGCACAGTGGGTACTGGGTGAACACAGGTCTGGCACGTAGTGAGTGCTTAATAGACATGGGGTCATGTGAGACATGGGTACTCAGTGGACATGGGGTTAGTGCCTGGCGTGTGGTCTGGGAAGAGGGGTCCCTGCCTCGACCCTCTACTGCATGTGTAAATATGGGTGGAAACCCAGGGTCCCTGGGCAGGGACAGTCACCCGTGTGGGGGTCCCCTGCTTGCCCTCTTCCACTCCCCTCACTGAGCTGTCCTCTCTACGCCTCAGGTCCTCCAAGGATGGCAGACAAGGTGATCCCCAGGCAGGTGGCGCGGCTGGGCCGCACGGTTCGGCTGCAGTGCCCCGTGGAGGGGGACCCGCCGCCGTTGACCATGTGGACCAAAGACGGCCGCACCATCCACAGCGGCTGGAGCCGCTTCCGAGTCCTGCTCCAGGGGCTGAAGGTGAAGGCGGTGGAACGTGAGGACGCGGGCACCTATGTGTGCAAAGCCACCAACGGCTTCGGCAGCCTCAGCGTCAACTACACGCTCATCGTCACAGGTGCGCGCACAGCACCTCAGTGGGTCAAAGGTCATGGGTAGTGGGACAGGGTCCCTGATAGAGACAGAGTCTGCACCAGTCAGACCCCGGGATCCTCTCAACTGGGACAGGGTGGCCCCGGCCGCACCCTGAGTCAATATCCCGCCCACCCAGCTGGCAGACCTGCCCTCCCCCCGCCTGCCACACACCCCACACAGCCTCAGCTGGGGCCACCTGGACCCTGGCTGACCTCCGCCCTCCACCCTCCTTGACCCCAGGCTGGGGGAGGGTAGGAGGCCCTCCCCACAGAGAACTGATAGTGCACTGCAGAGTGGGCTGGGGACAGTAGCAGAGGGTACAGGAACTCTGCGTTGGGCGGGGGTCCGGAGGCAAGCTGCCAGTCCAGGCGGGCAGGCAGGGGCTGGGCGGGCAGCCCTGGCAGGGTGTACCTCGGTGGCGGCTGGGGCTTTGAGGCTCGGATTTCGGAGTTCAGAGGGGCCGCCGGGCAGCCAGCGGCCTCTCTGTTCTCTGTCCTCTATGCCCAGGGCCCTGGATTGGACAGGTGTCACCCAGAGACACACCCTGATACCAGGCCTGGGTGCCCCGCCCTCTCTCAGTCTGGGTTCCTTCCTGTGTGTTGGTGGGGGGCCTCTTGGAAAGGCCCTTCCAGAGCCATGTGGTGGCACAGAGGTGGCCATGCTCAACTCAAGGCAGCTCATGGTGGGCGTCTGAGACCACCTGGCTTGGCCCTGGTTCCTCAGCATGCGCGGGGGGGCCCCCCCCCCCCACCTCCCGTCAGGCCGTCAGGCCTTTCTGGGCTCCAGGATGGGAAGGCTGGTGCAGGCCACCCCCACGGGCCTTTCAAAGGGGCAGATGACCGGGCGGTATTCGAACCATGTTAATTCACCGCGGCCTCAGGCGCCTTGATGTGGGCTTGGGTTACCGCAGCTGCTGGCAGCTCGGCCCCACTTCTGTCCCAGGCCCCACAGACCCCCTGGAGCCGGGGTGGGAGGGGCAGGCCCACCCACCGCCCTTCGCCTGCCCCTCCCAGCCCGTTGGGGTCACCTGTGCCCAGGGCGCCGCTGGGCAGCTCTCCCCAGCTGTCTTGGGGATTCTGCCGCGTGGGCGTGTCCTCGAGGGCTCTCCCAGATGGGCGGGAGGGGCTGGGGTCTCCAGCGCCTCCTCCCTCATGCTCCCCTCCTCCTCGCCCCCTGCTCTGCAGAGGACACCAGCCCAGGGAAGATCAGCCCAGCGGCTGACGGCTCTGCCGGGGGCCAAGAGGACCCAGCCAGTAAGCAGTGGGGTAAGTGCTGCCCAGGAGTGGGGTGGGGGCGATGATTGCGGGGGTGGTGCTCGGACCTTTCCGCTCTGACTTCAGCGCTGCCTGGCCCTGCAGCGCGGCCCCGCTTCACACAGCCCTCTAAGATGCGGCGCCGGGTCATCGCACGGCCCGTGGGCAGCTCCGTGCGGCTCAAGTGCGTCGCCAGCGGGTACCCGAGGCCGGACATCACGTGGATGAAGGATGACCAGGCCCTGTTGCGGGCCGAGGCCAGCGAGAGCAAGAAGAAGAAGTGGACGCTGAGCCTCAAGAACCTGCGGCCCGAGGACAGTGGCAAGTACACGTGCCGTGTGTCCAACCGCGCTGGAGCCATCAATGCCACCTACAGGGTGGACGTGATCCGTGAGTGCCCAGGGCAGGCAGCGGGTGGACTGGTGGGTGGGCAGGTGGTGGACGCCATCTGCAGAGTGGACGTGACCTGTTATTGCCCAGGGCGGGCAATGGACTGGTGGGTGGACAGGTGGTGGACGCCACCTACTGGGTGGACATAATCCTGGAGAGCAGAGGACGGCGAGGTGGGTGGATGGGTGGGCGCCATCAATACGCCCCCCTCGAGGTGGATTGGATTTTGTGGATGCTGGGCGGTGCCTGGGAAGCCCCGCCCACAGCTGCCACCCGCACCTGCGCAGAGCGGACGCGCTCCAAGCCCGTGCTGACCGGCACGCACCCCGTGAACACGACCGTGGACTTCGGTGGCACAACCTCGTTCCAGTGCAAGGTGCGCAGCGATGTGAAGCCAGTGATCCAGTGGCTGAAGCGTGTGGAGTATGGAGCCGAGGGCCGCCACAACTCCACCATCGATGTGGGTGGCCAGAAGTTTGTGGTGCTGCCCACCGGCGAGGTGTGGTCACGGCCTGACGGCTCCTACCTCAACAAGCTGCTCATCGCCCGCGCGCGCCAGGACGACGCCGGCATGTACATCTGCCTGGGCGCCAACACCATGGGCTACAGCTTCCGCAGTGCCTTCCTCACAGTGCTGCCAGGTGGGGCTCGTAGGCCCACCCCTTCACTGTGGGCGGGACTCCTGGGCCCCCACCCCTTCACTGTGGGCTGGACTCCTGGGCCCCCACCCCTTCACTGTGGGTGGGAATTCCTGGGTCTCCCACCTACCTCCACCATGGACACGACCCCTGGACCCTTCTGTGACCCCGCCCTCCCACTCAACCGCTTCTGCAGACCCGAAGCCACCCGGGCCGCCTGTGGCGTCGTCGTCCTCCACCACCAGCCTCCCGTGGCCCGTGGTCATCGGCATCCCGGCAGGGGCCGTCTTCATCCTGGGCACTGTGCTGCTGTGGCTCTGCCAAACCAAGAAGAAGCCGTGCACGCCCATGACCGGTGCACCGCCCATGCCTACGCCCACGCACCGCCCACCCGGGGCAGCCCGGGACCGCGGCGGGGACAAGGACCTGCCTGTGGTGGCAGCAGCCTTGTGTGAGGAGCATGGGTCTCCCACGGGCCCCCAGCACCTGCTGGGCCCTGGCTCAGCGGCAGGTCCCAAGCTTTACCCCAAACTGTACACGGACGTGCACACGCACACGCACACGCACTCGCACACGGAGGGCAAGGTCCATCAACACCAGCACATTCACTACCAGTGCTAGGGCCAGGCTCTTGGGGGCCACTGGCAGACGGACGCATGGGCTCAGGGGCACACAGAGACAGTAGGATGGGCCCACAGGCCAGGAGGGGCAGCCAGTGCCCAGGGAGCCCAGTGTGAAGCATGGCCACAAGGTGAGGTGTGCGGCACTGCACACACACACACACACACACACACACACACACACACACGCAGTGAGTAACTGGGGAAGACTGGACTTTGGCTTTGCAGTGCAGATGCAGTGACTTAATGAAGGAATCGCCCCATCCCTGGCTCCTGGGGTGGGGTGGGGGGTCATGGCTCCCCGATACCCCTCCTCAGCCTGCCAGGGGCCTGAGAAGTGCCCTGGCAAACTGACCAGCCCCAGCCCTGGCTGTGCCCTGCCCTGATACTGGCCTGCCTGCACCCCTGCCCAGTCTGGCAGCAGCTGGCTATTTTTGCCACCACCTGTCCTGGGTGACGGGGTGTCCAGCAGGACCCCGAGCCGAGCTGGGGGCAGTGGTGGTAGCCCCAGGCTCTGCCCGTGAGAGCCTGGATCCAGGCCTGGGGGTGTACCCCCCTCCAAGAGAAGGAGCCCCCTTGATATTTATATTTAAGAAATGAAGATAATAATATTAATAATAATGCAAGGAGGGATTCTGGCCGGGAGGGTGGGTGGCAGGGGCCGGGGCCTGTTCCTGCAGCTTGGTGTTGGCACCCCGTGGAGGCCTGGCACCCACCTCCCACTGCCCAGGGCAGACCCAAACCTCTGTAATTTTATCTAGGGTTTAAGCTGAAGTCGCGTATATTTAATTTATTTTGTTAAACAAGAAAGAGTGCATCCTTGTCCCGGAGCTCGTGTTTCTACTGGAGGTGTGTGTGTGATTCAGTTGGGGCAGGGAGTGCTCTTGTGCCTGTGTTCACACCTGTGCCTGCCTGCTTGTACGCGCATGTGCATTTGTGCCTGTGTATGCTTATGTCTATGTGAGTGCCTGTGTTTGGTATATGTGTGTGTTAGTGCTTGTGTGTGTCGGGCAGGCCTGGCCTGGGGTGGCAGGATGTGTGTGCCCTAGCCTGTGCCCAGGTCTATACCTCTTGGTTGGCCCTTCCTCCACACCTGCCCTGGGAAGCCTCTGGTAACACTGCTTCCAGCCTCTGGCTCCTCATGGGGACCCCTTGGGGTTCCCTCTTCTGGGTACAGGAGCCCAGCCCTGCTCCTGTCGCTCCCTGTGCCCCTTGGTCCGTGGTGGACCTGTGGGGTGGGCTGGGAACCCACCTTCTCTGGCACCACCCTGTGCCTCCGTGGTGGGGCTGTCCTGGGCATTAGGCCCATGGGTAGGGCTGGGCCCCCCTCTGGATCAGGGTCCTCTTGTGTATGGCCTGGGGTAGGGTTCTGGGTGAGGTCATCAGTGGGCTCCTCCCCAGGCCACCCTCTAGGCTCCGTCCCAGAGAGTGTGACTAGGGGGCATGGAGATGTACCCTGCAGAGGGGAAACTGAGGCTCAGACAGCACACTGCCCCACTCATGAGGGGTCATGCTGACAGTCCGAGAGGCCCTTGGGGGGAAAGCTCAGGCCTGCTGTGCCCGCGGGCTCCCTCAAGTCCAGACCCCGCTGGGGCTGCGGAAGGCAAAAAAAAGAACCCTTGAAAGCAAGGCGCCTGTGCGGAGTGGTTAAGCTCTCAGCTGCAAACAAAGTGGCTGGCTGCTCCTGTGATGGCCACAGCCCGGGACGCCCTGTGGCAGTGCCACTCTGTCCTGCAGTGTCACTGCGAGTCAGATTTGCCTCTGTGCCTGCCACCAGGTTGGGCTGGCTATGCTCTTTGGGCTGCCTGGCCTGGCGGGGCCTAGGGGGACCTGCCCAGGCCTCGTCTAACCCCTCCCAGTGGGCAGGGCCGCCACACTGCCCCAGGGCTGAGACTCCCTCCCCTTCTTGGTACCCCTACAATGGGGTCTCCTTCTCTGATCTCCTAAACGGGGTCCTTCCTCTTTCCACTGGAATCCCTCCTCCCCTCAGACAGGGCCCACGGGGTCCCAGGTGGGCCTGGGAGTGAGGGAGGTGACCCTGGGCTGGTCACTACACTTCAGGGCAGGGCAGTGGGTGGTGCACTGGCAAGGCCTCCTACCCAGAGGGTTTGGAGGGCGGCTGCTATGGTTATGGTGGAAGTCCCCAGCTGGTGACCGAGCCCAGGTGCAGACAGGACCAGGGGCCTGTGGAACTAGCGCTCAGATGGGTCTCAGGCAAGAGGGCAGGTGATGGGAAGACCACAGGTGGTAAGGTCATGGACAGTGGGCGACTTCAGGCGGTGGGCAGACCCCAGGGGTGCCGAGATGTAGGAAGGCAGGTAGACCCCAGGTTTGGGGAGAGCAGCGATGACTGCTCTCTGATGCTGGGCTGTCTGCAGGCCAATCTCAAGGGCAGTGACCTGCTGGCCCAGTGAGCGGAGTCTGCTGGGCAGGCTGGAGACTGAGTAGGCGGCGCCAGCCCAGCTCCGAGGGTCCTGAGGAGGGACAGGTCAAGAGAACATGTTTGGGTGAAGGTAGACCGAGGTCCCCCCCCAACCCCAGGAGACGACATCCTCAGCCCCACCCTCAGAGCTCCAGCCACCTTCGAGGTCCAAGCCTCCGCCCTGAACCACCACCCGGAGCTCCACCCCCCACCCCTAGAACCCATGCCCTCTGGGGCTCAAGAGTCCATTGGCCTCAAGCCCCTTCCACCCACCTCTCTATCCCTCCCTTATTGGTATCATCCACCTCTCCACCCCTCCCTTGTTGGTCCATCCACCTCTCCATCCCTCCCTGTTGGTCCATCCACCTCTCCATCCCTCCCTTGTTGGTCCATCCACCTCTCCATCCCTCCCTGTTGGTCCACCCACCTCTCCACCCCTCCCTTGTTGGTCCA